GCTCAGACGGAACGGACTTTCGCTCACTAACAGCAGGCACTGGACCGTCTGGTGTTGCTTGAGAAGAAGGTTCTTCGGGGTGCAGCCTGGTGACCGGGGTCTGCTCACTGAATTCTAGGTTAATCGCATGTCCATCAATATGCGTCCCCTGCAAGGCCTCCAGGGCCGCCTTTGCCGCAGGGACAGATGGGAAGGACAAGTAGCCAAATCCAGCGTGCTTCTCGGTCCCAACATCAAGAGGCAGATGTACATCTACGAGAAAACCCCTGGAGGCAAAAACGTCGCGGATCATCTTCTCGCTAACATTGAAGCCCACATTGCCGACGAACAATGATGTGTTAGTGGCGCTTTGTGTGTCTGCCGGCGTAGCGTCGCGGCCAGATGATGGCACATCGTTGGTTCTACCACGATCTTGTTCATGAGCATGTTGGCGACTAATGGGAGCGCGGCCACGGCGACAGTTGTATCCGGTGTGTGGATGCCAACGTCGGTGCGTGTGTTGGGAAGGATGTGCATGAGTACTCGTGGGTTGTGGACGAGGAACCTCAGGCCCAGCAGGGAAGTGAGGATGATTAAAAGTTTCCGGTGTCGGCCAGAAAGGAGGCGGCGGTGGACCTGGGAAGGGCTGGTGAAAGTGATGAGGTGGACCGAAGAAAGGAGGAGGCGGTGGCGGAGGCGGATAATGGTGATGGGGATGAGGATGCGGTGGAGGAGGGGGCGGTGGTGGTTGAAAGTAGGGTGTGAAAGCAAAAGGGTCGTGACGTCCATGAGGGGCATGAGGCACGTATGAAGGTGCATCTGGCTGCGCCTGGTCAGGGCCGCCGCCTGGTTGAGTCGGTCCGTCCGCCCCTGCAGCTTTCTTGGAGCCAGTTTTAAGGTCTGATTCTGGTCCCAACTCTTTCTCTCCGGATTCTGTCTCGCGGCTTCCCAGATCCCGATCCTGGGTTGGCTGGTCTACCACATCGGGGACAACACTATTACCTGCAGTGGCATCAGATGGTCTGGAGGGTTCAGCAGGGAGGCCATCTGGACGTTGTTCAGAGGAAGCCTGGGGTTGACCACCAGTTCGAGTGCAGCCAAACTCCGACTCAAATGCTTCGAACAGAGTATGCCCTACATTTCCAAGTTCCGACGCCATTGCACGCAGACTGTCTACAGTTCCGGCGGCTGTGGGGAGTTCTCCCTGGAGAATGTTCCCTGTCGACGCACCGCCAACAGTATGGTTGATCGAGCCGGTAAGCTGTCTCATCTGGGCTTCCAAACTCGCAAGAGCACCTTGTACCGAGGACCCAACATTTCCAGGAAGGGCCCTCTGAGCGTTCTCCAGCTGCCGTTCAATCTCGGGTATACTTGATCTCACCCCAGAACTGAGCAACTCAGCCCCGTTGAGCAGGTTCCGCATTGCATGAGTAAATGCATCCGTGGGATTTGGAGTTCTGCCCCTGGGGGTTCCTGCTGGCTCCTGAGCGGGAGCTGAAGGCTCTTCCGTAGTGTTATTGTCTTGTATATTCCTAGAAGCATCGAGAATCTTGGCCATCTCAGCCTCAAAGGCGGCCATGAGTGATGCTGTGTCGTCGTTCTTCGTAGCTTCAACGTGCTCTTGCTCAGTTTCTGACCGTACTTCTGCTGAAGCGCTAGCAGCCGGGGCATCCCCAGTTGATGATCCAGCGTGGTTGTCCGCATCCTTGCCTTCTTGCTTTATCTGGAACTTCTTCCACAACTCGGTTATTGAGTTCGAGCGTCGAATATCGAAGAGGTGCATGGGTTCGGTGGCTTCCTGCGGCATCGGGTCGTGCGCAAGGTCAATAGGCTCATCGAGGCGTTGAGAGAGTTCGAGAGACGATCCAACCTGTAAAGACCGATTAGTACCAAACCGACGCAGGATATGCGATAAGACATACAGTGATGATCTCCCCATCATCGTCATCAACATAAGTCAACCGTGCCCGCGGGTGATTCGATGCAAGATCATCATATTGGGGAGCAGACAGCTGCACGATTCCCCGACGAGCTCTAGGTGAGGATGGTTCCCTTGTCAAGGGTTGAGTGGATGCCGAGGGCACCTCTGCAGATGTATGTGATGGAGATCCATGAAGATCCCTGATCTGGAACGGTTTCAACATCTTCGGCGATAAAACACAACGGTCGCGGAAGAGCAAAGTTCCGCTCCCAGACCGTTATGAAGCCAAGAGAAGACGATGAATGATGAACCACGCAGCACGCAGGCGATGCTGGTAAAGAAAGTAGCCAGTTGAAGGATTCAGATAAACCAGAGGGGAACGGTAAGCTGGCTGGCGATCAGCAAGAGAGAAAAGGGATCAAGCTTGACAGGAATCTAGGCCGTAGGATAAGGGTCTGTCTGAACCCCGGGGAGGGGGGAGCGGCGATAAGGAGGGAGAGGGGGAAACAAAGGCTGGCAGGCGGCGGTCGTCGTCACTATTGCTGCTGCCTATGGGAACAACAGCTTTAGTTTCGGCGTTGGATCGTCTTTTCGCCTCAGTTCAGACAACAAGATTCCGCAAGAGGAAGCCGACCATCGTCATACGAAGGTCAGCTGCAGTGTAACGGGAAGGGAAGGCACAGGAAAAGGTTAGGGGTCCAGGCAACCAGATATTGAAGGAGATGGTTTGACGTGATGGTGAGCAGTAGTAGTAGTCTATATGAAGGAATGAGGTTGGGTGGATGAGGAGAGATCTAGTCAGCCAAAGTACTTTGTAAAGTAATCCGTCAATAAGAGACGATGAGAAGGTTAGTTAGTTAGTCTGGATCCTCTCCAAACATCCCAAGAACACCAAGACTCTTCTAAGAATCTCTCAGCAACGAAACTAGTTGCAGTCAAGCTTGTCTTTCTCCCCGCGCGGCGGTAATATGATTGGATGGTGACGGAGATCAACTGACCCGGTCCAACTGGTTTGACTGGTTTAATTTGACGGGAAGGAATCCGCAGGTGGATGGATGGAGGTCCTACGTATTCCTCTATACCAAAATCTAATCTAGTGACGACTGCCGCAAGTGTCCCTGTAGAGTGAGAGGGAAAAGAAAGCTTAAGCGGATCATATACTAGCTAAACAGCTAAACAACTAACCAAATTGATTGTATCCAATTCCCCCGATAAGCCCTCCACCTTTCTCTCTCCCCATAGTAAGCAGAAAATATGCAAGTAAGCTGTACTGCCTTTCCGGACTCTTTTAGCCTAATCCCTCCCGCCCGGCCCTATCCAAAAGCAACCAGCGTAAGGGAGGAGAGAGAGAAAAAAAAAGGTGTCCAGGACCTACTATCTACAAACCGCCGTCACAGATGGCTGGCATCTCCACAGAAACGCGTCTGCCCTCCGATTACCATCAATTCATCATTAAGGGGGAAGGAAGAAAGAAATAAGCCGCGAATTGATGCCATTCGTTCCTAGCTACTAGTCCTGATCGTTTCCCCCCTTCCCTTCCCCGTCTCCAATGGCTCCCAGTGACCCTGTGTCGCGCACCGAACCATCCTCCTCCACCGACCGTAACGTCAAGCACGTCGTACTGGGTGACCTCCTTTTCCCAACATGGTATCAGTCCATCTATCCGGAAGATCTCGTCAATAAAGACACAGACCGGTTGTACGTCTGTCGTTGGTGCTTCCGGTACTCGTGCGACGTCCACGCCTACGCGCAACATACGCGACTCTGCCAACACCGGACAACACCTCCCGGAACGAAAGTCTACGATCATGGCGGATACTCTGTATGGGAGCTAGACGGTGAATGTCACAAACTATACGCGCAAAACCTTTCCTTGTTCGCCAAACTCTTCCTCGATCACAAGTCCGTCTTTTACGATGTCGTCTCCTTCCTCTACTACCTCCTCGTCTTCACCGATCCCAATGACCCCGAGAATTACTACGTCTTGGGCTTCTTCTCGAAAGAAAAACTCTCCTGGGATGCGAACAATCTCGCATGCATCCTCGTCTTCCCACCCTACCAGCATAAGCAGCTTGGAAAGCTGTTGATGGGCGTGAGTTACAAGATCAGTTCCTGGGAGAGCGATAGTGGTCTCATAGGCGGTCCGGAACGGCCGCTTAGTGAAATGGGCCATAGGAGTTATACTCGGTTCTGGCAGGAACGAATAGCCAGGTATCTATTGGTACAGGGCGGTAAACCGAAGGAAGCAGAGGCGGCGTCGGGCTCCTCCGTGCCACTGAAGCAGAAGTCTCCGAAGACGTCCAAACGAAAACATACCCACGAGCTCATGACAGTGCAGGACATTGGTCTGGCGACGGGGATGTTGCCTGAGGATGTCGTCACCGCTCTTCAAGGCCTGGGGGCCGTTGAGCCTGCGACGCCTGCTAAAAAGCGCCGGACAAAGGATTCATCGGGCGAGGCTGGATCGGGCGCAGAGGAGCCCTTGTTGATTCGGAAGTCTAAGATTCTTGAGTGGGCCAAGTCACATCAAATGGCGCTCCAAGACCCTGTTAGAGATGAAGGTTTCCTGGGGAAATGGGCCCCAGCTGATTTCACTGAAGAGAGTGATGTCGACAGCGATGATGTTGACGAAGATGTTGGATAGGAGCTTCCTGCCTATCTTTGAGCCTATCGTTACGTTCTACCGCCATGTTTCCTGATGTGGAAACAGCGTGTCATGTATTATCATTTGCCTCTACTTACGCTACTGACCGTATGGAGCATCTTATCATTAATGAAATCCAGCAATACGATAGATTGACGGACTAGTCACATGGAATTAGTAGTATTTTTGGTCGGCTCCTGAAACATCCCATCCGAGGATGCTACCTTGTAACGGGTGAGTTACTACTCTGTGTATTGGGAGGTAGCTCTGCAAGTTACGCAACTCGCTCAATTATTCACTGGTCATTACAGCCAAGCGATAATACTAATACTCTGCATGTGCCATGAGCATGGTACTTTATCTCGCTGCCTACATTTTTGACTTTCAATGGATCAACTCAAGACACTCACCGTCCCTTAGGCAGCCATGAACGAGGCAATATTACATGCTAGCGGGTTTGAAACACGATTAATTCCCTCATGGATTAAAATCGATTAGGATACGTAAGTATGTGAAGTACAATTTTCGACGTAGGATATTTTTCTATACCGGCATTCCGAATATGGAAGAACCTGATGTTCTCGCTTTACAATAACTCGCCTTAGACGTAGCCATCACATTACTCATCCATACCGCCAGGTCCTCCCTGTCGGCCCATTTGTCTGGCCTTGAGCAGCTCATCGCAGAGCAGGAGGTTCGAGGCAATACCCGTGCTTGAAGCGACGCAGTTACGTAGCACACGGAAAGAGTCGAAGACACCTTCCTGGATGGGGTCCATCGGCTCACCAGTGGTCAGGTCCAGACCGACGGTGTTGCCGTTCGACTGCTCGTCTTGCAGAGCCGCCAATGAGTCCTGGACATCATGGCCAGAGTTGGCCGCGAGGGTCTTGGGGATGATGAGAAGGGCGTCGGCGAAAGCCTGAACACCCCACTTGGCCTTGCCCTTGACAGTCTTGCGGAAGGCCTCGGAAGTGAGGTGTGCTGCACAGGCCACCTGGAAGCTACCAGCACCGGGGATGACACAGTTGTCGACGATGGTGTTGTAGACGGACCGCAGACCGTCGCGAACGGCATCCTTCACCTGTGCGATGGTGTGCTGGTTGGGTCCCTTGATGAGGATAGTGACGGACTTGGGGTCCTTGACTTCCTCAACGAAAGTGAACTTCTCCTCGCCGAGCTGGTGCTCGTAAACCAAGCCAGCCCATCCAAGAACATCGGGGGTCAAGTCCTCAACACTGTTCTGTGCAGTACCACCGCAGATAAGTTGAAGACGCTCCATGTTCCTCCGCTTAGCTCTCCGGAGAGCGAGAATGCCATTCTTGACAAGAACATCCAAGCTCAGGGGGTCAATACCCTTCTGGTTAATAACAACGAAGCTCTTGTTGGGGTCGGTACCGCAGACTTGTTGCTTGAGCTCCACGATCTTCTTCAGCTTAGCATCGACGAACTTGCGTTCACTCTCCACCAACTTATCCCTCTGTTCGGCAGAAGAGTAGTAGAAGCCAGAGTTGATCTCAGACTTTTCGTATTCCAGACTCACGTTCAGGGTCAGGATGAACGCGTTCTCCACACGCTTGGGCATGTCGGGGTGTCTGGCACCGTGGTCAAGAGCAAGACCACGGATCAGTCTGGTGTCAGAGGACGTGCGATGTTGCATGGTCATGATCTCAATCATGTGTAGATCGGGCTTCTCGGGAGCTCTGTGGATGGCAAGGACGGCGTCGACGATATCAGGCGTAAGCTTCTCGGCCAGAGCGCTGTTCAACTTCGTGCTGAGCGACGTCCGCGCGACGGAAAGGAGGAGTTCACGGTCGACTGTCCGTTCAAGCTTGAATTGCTCGAGGAACTATATACCACCATAGCTTAGTATTGTATATGACCGACCATCTTAAATTTCGATGTACTGACCTTCAGAGACTCGTTCTTCGCAATCTCATAACCATCCGTGATAACACGAGGGTGCAGACCCTCGGAGATGTGTCGATTTGCCTGCTTCAGAAGCTCACCCACCAACAGGACGACAGATGTCGTTCCATCACCGGTAATATCATCCTGTGCCGTTGCAGCCCGGGCAATCATAACCTTTTGCCTGTATTAATAATTGCGTTTGGGGGAGGAGGAGGAGGAGGAGGAGGAGGAGGGAGGTCTAGCTCACAGCCGTGGGGTTTTGGATTTGCTGCACCGGTTAGCATGAGAGTTTATAACGACTGATTGTAGAGAACACTCACCATCTCACGCAGCAGAACATTTCCATCTTTAGTCAACTTGATCTGTTTGCAACATTGTTAATAAGAATGCCGGATTGCCGGACTCAAGGGAATATTTCATACTCCGCCTGCACCATCCACCAACCTGAGATCAGTCAGCTCTGCATCTGTCTATTAACCATCGTAAATTGGAACATACATCTTCAGGGTACCCGAGGGACCCAAGTTGGACTTCAAGACATCCTGAAGACCCTCACCGGCGCTGATGTTGACCTTCAAGGCCTCCGCTCTCCGCTGCAAACTGTTAGTCTCTGCTGGACCACTGAGGGGCTGATGTTTCGGGGGGGTAAAGGGAAGAAGGATAACTGCATGCATACCCTCGACTCGGCCTTGGGATTGAGTAACTGCGTTGCAGACATTTTCTGCAGCACGAAAGAGCGACAAGCAACAAAAAACCCAACGAAAGAAATCCGGAGAAAAACGATAAGGCTGGCTGGTGCTGTAGGGCCCCTAAGACGATGCCCGCGCGGCCACAAACCTGGTGGTGTTTGCCGTCGAATGCGGTGAGCTGTAGTTTTGGCAAAAAGCCCACATTCGATGTTCGCACTAGCGCCGCCGCGAAAAAAAAGAGCTCCGACGGCTCGACTCTGCAAATCTACCCTCCCAGGCTTTTCTTCAACTCCACGTCGGTCCACGGCAGGTCTACGGTCGCATAACCCCGGGAAATTGAGACGCGACCACGATAAGTCGCACGTAAAGGACCGTTTTGTCTAATTTTTAGGGCCCTTCCCTCAATTTCGCAATGGCCGACTTCCTTCTGTTCGAGGGCCCCATGGGCTACTCGCTTTTCAAGGTCGCCCACCAGGGTGACAGCGTGGGAAACCGCTTGAAGGAGGTTCAAGAAGGTGTTAACGACTTGGCCAGTTTCGGTAAAATGGTCGAACTGTCCAGTTTCCTGCCTTTCGAGTATGTGGTTCAATTTTTCCCATAGGGGCACTTTCCCGCAGGATTCTGACAACTTCCAGGAACAACAAGCAGGCTCTCAGTGAAATCAACGATGTCTCCGAGGGTGTCGCTTCGGACACTCTGATCTCTTTCCTCGAATTGAACTTGCCCAAGCCCAACAAGAAGAAGAAGGTTGTTCTGGGTCTGGCCGACAAGGCCTTGGCTGGAAGTATCAAGTCTGCCTTCTCTTTCGTTGACTGCGAGACTGGAGACACCAGCGAGGTCGTCCAGGATATGCTTCGTGGTGTTAGACTGCACGCCACCAAGCTGCTGAAGCAGCTGCGTGAGGGTGATATGGACACCGCCCAGCTTGGTCTTGGTCACGCTTACTCTCGCGCCAAGGTTAAGTTCTCCGTCCAGCGCGATGACAACCACATCATCCAGGCCATTGCTATCCTCGACCAGCTCGACAAGGCCATCAACACTTTCTCCATGAGAGTCAGGGAATGGTACTCCTGGCACTTCCCCGAACTCTACAAGATCGTCTCCGACAACCAGCGCTACGCCCAGATTGCCTTGTTCGTCCAGGACAAGAAGAGCTTGAACGACGAGAAGTTGCACGACATTGCTGCCCTTGTGGAGGACGATGAGGGTGTTGCTCAGAGCATCATCGACGCTGCTAAGCACAGCATGGGTCAGGAGATTTCCGAGACCGACATGGAGAACGTTATCTCTTTCGCCCAGCGCGTTGTCAGCCTGTCCAAGTACCGCAAGTCTCTCCACCAGTACCTGATTTCCAAGATGAGCGTTGTCGCCCCCAACCTTGCTGCCCTTATTGGTGAGATCGTTGGTGCTCGTTTGATCTCCCACGCCGGTAGCTTGACCAACCTGTCCAAGTACCCCGCTTCTACGGTCCAGATTCTCGGTGCTGAGAAGGCCCTGTTCAGAGCCTTGAAGACCAAGGGTAACACCCCCAAGTACGGTCTTCTGTACCACTCCTCTTTCATTGGAAGAGCTGGCCCCAAGAACAAGGGTCGCATCTCGCGTTTCCTTGCCAACAAGTGCTCCATCGCCTCCAGAATTGACAACTTCTCCGAGGAGCCCTCCACCAAGTTCGGTGAGGCCCTTAAGAAGCAGGTCGAGGAGCGTCTGGACTTCTACGCCACTGGTGCTGCCCCTACCAAGAACGAGGTCGCCATGGTGAGTCAATACAGCTAGTTTGATTGCTATTACACTAGTGAACCAAATATCCCTATCCTTCGTAACAAATTTACTGATGGTTTTTACAGAAAAACGCCATGGATGCTGTCCTTGCTGATATGGACATTGACGGCGCTGAGAGCGATGCCGAGATGCAGGACGCTGATGAGAAGGCCGAGAAGAAGGACAAGAAGGAGAAGAAGGAAAAGAAGGACAAGAAGGAAAAGAAGGAGAAGAAGGAGAAGGGCGAGAAGGAGGAGAAGAAGAAGAAGCGCAAGTCTGACGTTGGCGAGGGCGAGTCCGAGAAGAAGAAGCGGAAGCACGACAGCGATGCTGAGCCGTCCAAAAAGAAGAAGAAGGTTTAAAAGTACCGAGTCTTGGGACAGGAGGGCGTCATTGTCGCGGCGTTGATGGGTTTTCTTTATTATTCTTGCCAACCATGTTCTGTTTTCTCCTTGACGACTTGATGGGCTGGGTATCTTGTAAATTATTCGATTGAGGCCTGTGTCGTGCCAAAATTTGTTTGTAGTTCTTGCTGCCAATCTGATATGGCTTTTTGGTTCTAGACTTATATGACATGGCAATTGGCTGTAAGCGAAAAAGTACTAGTAGTAGTGTGACGGACTTCAGTAGCGATCTAAACAAAGGAACCAACCGTATCCTGGATATCTAATCCGAGCCAACAGCGGAGGAATCCTGGCTACTCTAAGTTACAGGGTCGATCGCTGCTTATTCACCGGGCGGAGGAAGGGGCCGATGACCACCCAGACCGGCTTCCCCCTCTCAACCCCCCCAGCGAGGACTGACAACCCCATTGCGCTTTCCCTTCGTTCAGCCACTACCATATATCATGGCCCGAGCATCAGTGCTCTCCTCACTTACTTAGTTATAATGGCTTCGTTTATGACTCTGGTCAAGATACTAAGAAGCTAGCTTTATTATTTAACGCACACTTACTGTGTCATTCTTTACCATAGCCGGCGCGGTCGATGTGATGCCCCCACCTTCGCAATGAATCCCAGCCCCGCGATGATGCCAACTACCCTGCCGACGATGTCCTCTGAATCGCCTAAACGTAAGCGAGCATCGCCCGAAGACTCTGATTACCGCAGTCCTTCCGCTTCACCTACATCAAGCGGCTCAATCCCCAACCCCCAGGAATCCAAGATCCGGGAAGCAGAGGACTGGGGTCGATACAGCCCGCGAGCGCTAGTCGCTGGTCGCTTGGGACGATTGGCTATCCGCGGGGATCAGTTTTCCACGTCGCCAGTGCCGTACGGAGTAGATCAGGGCATAGTCGCACATACTGCGCAGTCGGGGAACTGGCCTACCTCGGACGGTGATTCTCATGATTCTTACGCCGTATCCGAAGCGAACGCCTCGATGGAGATTAGTCCCAGCCCAGGGGGATTGTCAGAATTTGCGGAAGCTACCCAATCTCCTGAAATTGCTAGAACCGGATCACCATCTCCCAGGAAGAGACGATCGACACCCAGCCCTCGCAAGAAGAAGCTCCCTACGGCTTCTTCCACGATGCGTAGCCGCAGTGCATCACCCCCTCTTATAACCGATACAGCTGAGAACCCACTTACATGGCATGACTCGGAAATCACGGGTCACAACCCGACTGATCCTACTGACGACGGATACGGGTTGAATGGAATTGGTTTCAAACCGACTGCGGCAATGGCTTGGGCCAGATCAGAGAGGAGAAAGAAACAGGTCGCAGAATGGAGGAGCCGTGAAGCCAGAGAGGCGCGCGAAAAGCGGCGAGAACGCCGAGACGGTGCCGACTTCGAGAGGATACGGTCTATCCAATCTGGCGCCATTCAGAAAAGGGTCAAGTTTGACGTCTAGATGCGGACTTCACATGAGTATGCATATGAGTATGAATCTCCCTCTCTCGAGACACACCTTCTATCCTCTACGATATCCCTAACACTTCTGGAGTTTATCGGTTATTGTGGCTTTATCGAAACGGGCGTTGGATTGAAATTATCGACACGAGACATGACGACATCACAACTTCAAGGTTGGATAGGGTAGCAGCCCCTAACATAGAGAGGAATATGTACTTTTGCAACCAGCCCACTTTATACATAGTACTATACAATGAGATCCCATCCAACTCCAGTACTCCATGCGATGCACAAAAAGCCTACCAAAACTTGTAGTTCGATAGGTTGGTCCAGCTCTTCCGTTTCCTTTCCTCCTCTGCCAAACGGGCGGCTTCCTCGATCTTCTGTTCCTTCTCACGTTGTTTCTTGTCCTTGAGTGCCTTCATCAACTCAACTGCCTGTTTCATACCGTCTAATTCCTCCACGCGACGCCGTTGGCAGAACTCATGGGCTGCAAGCGCTGTAATAGCGAAAGCACCTACCGCCCAGTTACACGCGGTCCACATAGAGCGCAGTCCTAAAGTCATTCAATTTATCAGCAACCATGTATCATATCAAATCCGGTATTGCAATATCATACCTCCAACCACGCCCCTAACGCCGCCTACACCGAACCCGGCCCCGATTCCGAGGAGCAGCGAGTCACGCGCACACGGCGCTTTGTGGAAAGACATGGCATTTTCGAGCGACATTGTCTTCATAGCCTCAGTTACCGTGATATCCTTTGCCTTTTGCCCAGTCTTGGTGGTCGCTGTAGGCAGCATATTCACGGGCTCTTCGGGGTTTCCGAAGGCATCCCACAGCTTCCCGACCTGCGACTTGGGAAACTCATGCTTCGGTTTCCGTTCTCCCTGTTGCCCAGGCTCTCTCACTTCCGGAGTGGAGGTAGTTGGGTCCCGCGCATCGTCGGCCATCATGTGAGATCCAATTGTGGGTTCGAGATACCTCGTCGTCGCTCTATGGCCTTATGCGGGCATTTTCTCTACCGGGTAACTATGCGCGGTATACGGATCAACCTATTATCCGGTACCTCCCGGCTAGCCAGCAGAAATGGATAGTTTCCCCGAGGTGCCCGCGATCATCCAATGACTACGCGTAAAGTAGAAAACGCGAACGCGTCGGAATGGCGTAGGGCAAATCTGGGCTCCGCAACATGCAAGTGGATCAACGACCAATTCAGTTACATTGGAGCGCGCTCAACTGTGTCTGTGAAGAAACGTCCATTTCACAAAGAAAAGAAGCTAATTTCCACCAACAGTCAACTATGCGCAGCTTTGTCCTGTGTTAATCACACCATTGCTTTTCCATGTTTCGCCTAATTCATTATCGCCTTGCTCTGCAGTGATCTTCAGCCCCGGCCAGTGGGCGCGTCGCCGTCGCAATGCCTTCAAGAAAACCCAGCAAGTTTGGGAACAAGTTCCGATCAAGCGCGGCCTCCTTTAACCCCAAAAGAACGAAGACAATCGAGTTCTCGTCCCTCCGATCCACTGAAGCAA